ATTGTTAGAACTTTTCATGATGATTTCATCTCTCTCTCTCTCTCTCTCTCTTCCGTTTTCATCCTTCTCATCATCATCATCATGAAAAACTGGTAAAGAGAGAGAGAGAGAGAACTGATAAATTGGTAACAGGCCATTAATCTGGTTCACTGAGTATTCACATATTCAGATATTCAGAGTAATAAAGGTTTACTCATGTAATTTTTTTCACCAAACTTTTTCCTCATCCTGAACCATTGACTTTAATTTACTTCGTTAGTGATAATAAGCTGATAGACTCATCAATATTATATCATAATAATATCATAATAATAAGCTCACCAATAAGCGAGTAATTATCACGTGACTTTACCTAATTAACTTAAAACTTTGATGAGTAGATAATTATTATTATCTAATGATGAAGATGCAGAAGAAAATTAAAATTATCTAATAACCTCTTACCATTTCATCAGTAATGAAACAATAATAATCTTAATCAGCATTACTTGGATATTGATTAGATTATGATTGTTTATTATTGGATAAGGAGAAAAAAAAATCAGCAAAGTTGATTGAATGTCAATCCAAGTTTATCACAAAGAAAATTGAATTAAATGATTAGTTGATTGGTGCCAATCAAAATCTATTAACTACTGATTGGATTTAGTATTTTTTTTTACCTTTTCAATTCTGGTTAATTATAAATTGAAAGTCAATGTTTACGCAATTTAGGTTTGATTTTGATTAGTTTTCTAGGCTTAAATCACAATCGGTATTTGGATAATGTAAAGCAAAAAAAAAAGGTGATGAAGATTAGTGAGATTGATTTGATTGGAAAATTTGAGAAAAAAGGTAAATTAAATTAAAACGACAACAAGATAATCACAATTAAGCCATAAGAAATATCATTGGAGCATAAAGTTGGCTTACCTTTTTTTTTAAATCTTCTTCTCTTCAATTACTGTTACAATTTCTCATCATCATCATCATCTTTTTATCCTCTTCCATCAATGTCACTTTAATTGAACTTTTTTTCTGTTTTGTTTCAAGTGTCTTCATCTTTCTTGTAAAGTTCAATGTTTCCTCATGTTGTCTACCTCTCATCTCATTGTTGATCTGTTACCTTGAAAATGATATTTATTTATCTTCATCATCATAATCATCATGATGATGATCATAATCAACTAACTTGATTCAGCTTTTTTCCATCTACCTGATCATCTTGTAGCCTCTTTAATCAACAATGAACAGGTAAAATTATATTCCAAACTTTTTTCATGCTCATTGACATTGAGATAAAAACATCAACAACAATATTAACTTTTTTTTTACTTCCATTATAATTAATCAATCGGGAGGGAAAATTGTTCATTAAACTATTTTTTTTTCCTTTTCTAATTGTAATTAATTGTTGATTCATTGTTTGTTTGTTTGTATCTTGATTTACAGAATCAATTAACTTTACTTTTGCTCGAGAAAATTTGAGAGAAAAAAAATATTAATATATCGTATGTCAGGTTTCATCAGTTTCTCTTGGTTCTCATTTCTCATCATGAAAACATTGAATATCACCATGAAATATAAGATAGATTAACCCTAATCAGTGTAGATATCAAGTTACCCTTTTCCTCAGTGAATAGAATCATGTTATTATCATTAACTATTATGTAGATATTATATTTTCTCGAGATAATTTTTGGTGTTTATCCATTTTGCCTCGATTTTTATTGATTAAATCCTAGGAAGACAAGTTAACCTACACACACACACACCTTTTGATAACATTGTTCATGATTCATTTGAGATACTATTGATTCTGAGGTGATGATGAATATTATATATATCATTTTGTTGATTAAAGTTGATTATTATTGTAATAATAATATTCGGGATAAGATTCAATTGTTAATGATTGTTTTAGGTTATCACGTCCAACGTTTAGCTGATTTAATCCGAATAACGTTAAAACTTGAGGGGATCAGAATGAATTAGATGGGAGAATATACTAAAAGTGATGATGATGATTCTGCATGATGATGATGATGATGAAGAGAAGTAAAATCAGATAAGCTGAGAGAAGCAAAAAAAGGTTAGAAAAAGATGATGATAGACATGATGAAGTTGGAGCTTTTCTTTTTCGCTATTGATGGATCATCATATGAAGACTATAATCAAAAGGTCCAACTGAATAAATGTATTTATGTATTGGTGTATTTAGAATGATTTGTTTGCTGAGAATATAAAAAAAGAGCGACTAATCGATCTATCAATGTCCATCGATTGTTGGTTTGATGTTATGAAAAGTTGTTTATCTTAAAGAGAGAGAGAGAGAAAAATGGTGATGATGATGAGGATGAGGATGATTATAATGAGAATGATGAAGATCTCATGGAGAAACTGATTGGCTGAATAAATCACAGAGTATAAACCATTGACCTTGATGAGAAACATGAAATGATAAAACAAGAATCATGTTGAAGTGAAAATAACTAAATTCATCATTTCTATATAATAAATACATCATCTTAACTCATCTTCATGGGTTTTATCAGAATTCTGATTCAATCTTCTTCAAATTTCATCCGCATCCTTTTCCTGTGACTTTTATCTCTCTCTCTCTCTCTCTCTCTATCCCCAGCTACTGTTAGTTGATGTATCAGCCTTAAGGCACTAACACTGACCATGACTTTTACTATATCATGTTAATAATGATGAAACTTTTCTTCCTTTTTTTTTATTTATCAAAGTTATGATTGATTCTGATCAGGAATCATCATCATAACCTCAAGCTAAAACTCCTTTGCACCTTCATCTCTTAAGACCAATAAATCATATTCCATTGAATTTGATGAACAATTTCAACCAGAACTTTTTTTTTCCTTCTCATTCGGTTCAATTGTTTCCATTTCACTTTAATTAAGAATCAATTGAGACAAGAAAAAGAGGAAGAAAAAAGATTTTCTCTCAAATGAATTTACTTTGATTTTCTTTCAATGTTCAATTGATTAATTAATCTTCTTTTTCCAATGATTAACTTGATCATAATTCTTTGCTTTGGAAAATAAAAAATGTTTCAAATAATCAATAAAGAGATGATAATTGTATCAAGTGTACTTTATCATTCAATTAACGATACACAATATTAGCTGGAAAAGATGACGAGCTCTCGAAAAGTAAAGAGAGAGACAGAAAAGTTAACTCAATCAACTGAACAAATGAAATTTTCTTTCTTTTTTTTTACTCTGATCAGCATCTTCGAGTAATGTTCAATATCCTCGTCTTTTCATCCTTATCCTTGTGTGTGTTTGTGTTTATCCAAGAAAAGAAAGTGACTTTTTTGTTGTTCGATCTGAAAATGAATAACCAGTAGAGAAGAAAGTTGAAATTAAATCTTGATTCTTGTTGTTTCATGTTGGATAAAGTGATGGAAACAGGGGAAATTCAGGGATGAGGTTCAATGGAGATTTGATCAGTTAGGAGGAGAAAAGTGAGAGAGAGGGGAAAATGGTAAGAATGAGTAGAAAAATGATCAATAAGTGAAAGTTTTTCATCTTCGGTTTACATCACATTGATTATCTTCCCAATCAAATACTAGTTTTCACATTTTCTTATTAAAAATCTCAATCAATCTATTATTTATCGTTCCTCTTTGATGATTTAAATTCTATTTCAATCATCATCATCATCATCATTTTCTCTCTCTCTCTCTCTCACTATTTCATATATATTGTTAATCTTTTAATTGTATGGTGATAATCAATTGAATCTCACACAGAAAATTGGATATGAAACTTGTTTCCAATGTTGATCTAAATCATTGATTGAATTTATTTCTCTCTTGCTTCAGTTTTCATTATCAAGTTAATTGTTAATTATTTCAGCTTCTTTTTTTTAATCACGTGACAAACTCATCAATAACTTTTCATCCTCTTGATTCAATATCAAATGTTACTATTCATTGATAGATTAAACTGACAATAGAGTTGATCGAAGGCGAGATTTAATTGTTATTATCACGATATCAAAAGATTGTAATGAAAGAAAATGAAGAAAAAAAAATGTTACTTTTATTTTAGTGATTGATTGATTTTCGTATATATAAAATAATTGAAATCTATTAATTTTCACCAATAGAAATAAAATAAACATTATTATTATTACAACAAGATTCCAAATGAATAAAAGTATTATATCAATTAAACTGAACATTAATTGGAATCAATGAGAAACAAAGTATTGAAAAGTAAATAGTGTTGATATGGAATCGTGATACTCATGGTAATTCATGGTAATTGTAATAGTAGTTTGGTCAAGTTTCTCATTAATCTCTCATCTGAATCTTGGATATAAATTAACGGAAATGGAATTATTTTTACTCTGACAAATAAGTAAAGGTAATAATTTCCGTTGTCGATTAATACACAAAAATTGGATTCATTTTCATTCACTTGAGTGAATCTTTTATTCTCATGGTTCACCATTTTATCCCCAAATTATTTGACCATGAAAACTTTTCCCCGCCATTTCCTATCATATGGTTAATGGATAACAATTGATTCATATATTTATATAAATATTATCACTAATGTAAACATGAATTTCTTATTTTCCACCATCATCATGATGATAATAATGATTGTTGATTAGTTCTTAACATTATCCATTCCATGATTATCTTATTCTCATTCATATATATAATTCTCATTGAATTTTCCATATCTTTTTTTCCCCATGTTCAACTGAGGGAATAGGAAAATACGATGAAATTGTGACAATGATTGATTCACTTTAAATTGGATTCATTTTGATTCTTAATTTTCTTTACATCAATTTACTTCTGGTTTCCTTTTTACTCTCTCTCTCTCTCCCAAAAATAATATAACCATTAACTGAATATGATTACTAGAAATGATTGAATATTATATTCATTGAATCAATGAATTATTAATCTCTTATTCATTTGTATATTTATTTGTTTTTTTTATTTTTCTCTTCCTTTTTTTTCATTCATCAAACAGTCGATGGTTCCAGGTATGCGACTTTAATAACATGCGAAGGTCAATCTGCAAATATTACCTGTAATCCAGGAACTCGGATAAACTTAATTCGAGCAAATTTTGGACGTTTCAGTATTTCAATTTGTAACGAACATGGAAATGTTGGAATGCAAGTCGATTGTATGTCAGCCATAAGTTTCCGAGTTCTAAGTGATCTGTAAGTACATTATATATACGGAATACGATTTGAATATCATCATTTTTGTTATCATTTGCTATCAAGAGAAAAATATTATTATCATTAATTGGAAAATTGTGAGCATCATTATGTGAGTTTGTGGCATTAGAATATCAATTTTCACTTGATGGAAGATTTTATTTCATTTTCTCCGTTTTCATGGACATTAAGTTGAGTTAAATGAACGATTTTCAGAGTGACCAGAACTTTTCTGATCATTATTTTTATCTCATTGCATCTTTTTTATTTCTACTCCTTTGAACTGTTCAAAATGCTTCATTCAAACATCTCTTTGAATGGAAAACTTTTTTTTCAGAAAAGCTTAAGCTCATTTTGTTCAGTCTTGATTCTGTTTCATGATGATGATGATGATGATGATTATGATTGTATCAAAAGGGTTAAACATGCAAAAGTAAAATATTCATTTTACTAAATCAACTCAGAATAATGAAAATGAGCTGAGTAATTTTTTTTACGTTTCTCTTGTACTCAAAGATGATCTGAAGGTAGATATTCATATGATGATGATGATGATGATGATGGAGAATTGAAATGAAATATTCATAGTTGATGAAGTTTGACATTGGAATAGTTTTTATCTAACTGTAAATGAATAAACGGTGCTGATAAAATTCATTCCATTTGAAAGGATATAATGATTATCAAATGATGAGCATTTCAAGTACATATTATATAATACGAATCTGTTGAATCAATTGATTCAATTTTCTCGACTCCTTGAGGCAAAAAAGTTTCTATCATGATATGTAAATGAAGGTGAACTTTTATCAATCAACATTAATGAACTTTTCTCTCGAATAATGAAACTTTAATCAGCCTGGAATTAAGTTTAATTACACAAATACAATCATGGAATTGAACATGATTGAAGGGTTTGGATATCAAGAGAAATAATTTACTCAAAGAAATTTCATTAATTTACTCAGATTATCATGATTATCATCTTTGATATTATTCTCAATTTCTAATTGGAACTCTTTTCGTTTTTTTTTGATATTTTCATGTTTTTCTCATGGTTTTCAATGGAAATCATCAAAAACAACAACTCGAAAAAGTTTATCTAACCTTTTATCTGGTCAGATAGTAATCATGTTGACCTTTAAGTATTATTATCGTTGAGTTATCTTAATATGCTTGTGATTAAATGATAATATTAACCGATTGAAATGCGATAACTTGATAACCCAAATGATCTGGAAAAAATAAAATCTAAAGCCAATAAATAGTATCTCTATTGTCCACTTCGTTTGGGTGAATCTCTTTGTTGTATCTTTTTTGTTATGCTCAATAAAATGACCAAGATAATGATGATGATGACCAATGATGATTATGATGATAAAGTTAAAGGAAAATAGAAGATAAAAACAATAATAATAATAATAAAGACAAAAGAGGAGAAAGAGATTCTTTCGTTATCATTTCTCTGAATCTGACAGGGAAAAATGGTCAATGCAAATAGTTTTTCTTGTCCAACATAATGATACTTAGAACTTGATATTGGACATGAAGCCAAGTTGAGAATGAAAGTATTCCAATTCTATATCTATTGTTATTATTTTTATTTTATCTTTTGTAAGGAATCCAAAAATTTCATTAGAATCATTTAGCTACAAAATTGAGTTCAATAAATATCGAGTAAATATTGGCTTAGTTACTGGAATGAGTTCTAGTTGACTCACGATTATTTCAATCGATGTTGATTGTTTTCCATCATTATATATCTATCATGAATCTTCAGAATCTTGATTCTCATTCAGTTGATCTTTACACCAAAAGAGAGAGAGAGAGAGAATAGAAAACAAAAGAAAAACTTTTCTCTTCTTTTTTTTTCATTAGTTTCTTTTTCTCTATTCATTGTAATACCTTGAACTGAATTTCCTAAATGATTCTTCATCTTCTTCTTTGTTTCAATTCTCTTCCATTTTGTTCGCTGCCTTTGTAACTTTATATTCTTTTTCCACATCTTCCATCTTTCATCTTCATCTCTCTCTCTCTCTCTCTCTCTCTCTCTCTTCTCTTCTCTTTTTAATCTTCTCCCTTTTCGACAGAATCAACCAACCATTTTAGCTTCTTTCTAATTCTATTTTTCTCTCTTCACTGGTAACACTCAATTCAACTGATTTCTCAAAATTGACGATGAATTGATTAGTCTAAATGTAAACAATCAATAGTTAAATTTAAAAGTTCATTGTAAACGAATAACAGTTGAACCTTGTCGATCGAAAATGGTGTTTACTTAGAACACTAATTAAACTTGATAATAATAATATTATATCAACAGAGAGTGAGAGAGGAAAATAAGAGTTATAAAATTGAATGGAATTAGAATTTGATTCCTTTAACTTCCCGAATTCTCATCAAACTCAATAAGCAAAAACAATCAACAGGTTAATAATTGAACAACAACTGATTCAATTTTCGCTTCTTAATCTCTAAAATTTATTCATGATAAAATTTCAAGTTGAATCTCACGAACTTGAATTGATTTATATTAATATTTTTGTTTCTTTCTTGTGGTAAAGAAAAATGTACTTATTGTTTCCATGGAAACATTGATAAAGTTTCATTCTCTGATTCTTGACAATGATGATGATGAACAATATAATGAGCATGATAGTGAATATCGTTTTTTTCTTGCCTTCCTTGAAATCCCTTGAGGCGTTTTGGTTCATTTAACATTCATTCAGATAGAGAATCATCATTTTGCTCAAAGTACATATAAGATAATGGGAAACCTGAGGTGGGCTAAACATTATCATTTGTTGCTTATTGGAAGCATCAACATCATAAAATCATCAACACCATCATCATCATCATCATCATCATCATCATCTTTTTGTAGCTTCTGATGATAAAAGTTTTTCCATTGTTAAAGAGACTGTACCTTGAGAAAACCACCAACTTGTCAAAATTACCTTTTTCTTTAGCACTTTTCCTCACTCTATGTTATCCTCATCGCTTTTTTTTACACTTATCATCATTATCATCATCATCATCTTTCAATTGATTGGTGAAAATTATTTGCTTCATTGTTAACAGTTGATATAAATATTAACATTTCCAATGTTGATAGTTGAGTGTTTGGGCCTCTTGTTGATTTATTTTTTTTTATCTTTGATACTCATCATCAACCCACTTCCTTGGGAGGGTTTTTTTATCAGTGAGCTGGTGTGTGATGATGATGATAAACATTATAAAGTGTCTTTTAAGAAATGTGAGACTCACTTGATCATCAAAAAAGTTCATATTAATCTGACATGACAGAAATTGAGTCAACAGAAAAAAAGAGGCATCAAGACAAAAGGAAGATTTGAAAAAGATTTCTATGTGATAGACATAATAAAAGATGATGATGATGATGATGATAAAAAGATACTCAAAGATAAAGTGTCACCTCATGGAGATGTAATAATAAGGATAAAGAAAAAAAAGAGAGAAAAAATCAAATCAAATCAAATGATAGTAAAAGTATTTACAATTATGAAATAGATTAAGACAATTAGAATACTTTATTTACAGTTAATTTAATTTCTGTAATGAGATGAAACTTTTTCCAGTTGATTATCACACTTTCCATTTTCAAATGATAATAAATGTTAATTGTTTGAGTAAATTGGATAAGAGAAATTTAAGATTGCATGATATGAAGTGATAAAGAATAGATGAAAGAAAGAAAGAGAAGATGATGATGATAAAAGAAGATAAATAGAGAAAAAGAAAACTAGAAAAAAGAAAGGTAAATATTAAAGAGAGAACTGATAACTTCTCAGTAGAAACCTCATTGATGGTCCATTAGGTTAATATTATTCACTCACATCTCCACCCACTGTCCCTCCCTCATCTTCCTCGAACGCTTTATCCTCATCTTCCTTCTCCATCTCATCATCATCATCATCATCCTCATCCTCCTCCTAATAAACCTCCATTGTATCATCTGTTTGTCATGATAATATTGGTAACTGTATATTGTCAATGAATAAACAGAGGAAAAGGTTTGATTCACAGGATGTGATATACAGTTGAGTTGATTCTGTTTTTTTTTCTCTATCTTTTTCTTAAGCTCCCTCTTAATCTTCAGGCTCCCTGGTTACTTGCCTCCATCACCATACACTCACCCACCCACAACCTCCTCCTTTTTCAATGTAAATTATTGAATACCACCCTGAATATGTCAAACTTTTTGTGAAAAACCGGTTGACCGGTCACAAAGCATTTATATATAATATAAATCCAATTTATCTTGATTGCTGTTGCTTGTTTATTATATTGTTAACCGTCATCATAATCATTTATGATAAAATTGATGATATCACCTCTAAATGTAATATAATTTAGAGGGGGAATAGATCAGATTATCACAATAATAATAATGAAAACGATAAATTTGATAGAGAGATAGAGAGGGAGACTGATAATGAGTGAGAAAAAACTATGGAGAAGAAGAAGAAAAAAAAAGAATAGGATAATTGTGATTGTCATGCATAACAAAGTATCCTGGATATAATATAAAACTCTGTCAATGAATGGTAACCATTTTGAATAAATGAATTTTGATGAATAATAATGATAATAAATAAAGAGTAACAATGACAAACAAAAGATTCTGTCAACAAAAACGTAAAAATAATGATGCTAGAAAAAAAAACTAACCTCCAACCTCAAGACCAACATAATAACAACAGCAACAAATGATTGACTGACCATTTTCATTAGATTGTGTAGAGAACTGAAAACTTATCCTCTAATTGAATTAATCATTTATTATTATTATTATTACTTATGATTACTTAATACCCTTGACCATTATAATGATGATTATCATTGTTATTAGATGAAAAATTTTCTCCATCATTTTGTCTGATAATAATTGTGAAAATGTTAATAACTTTTCTTTTGCCACAATGACAATAATTGATAACAATAGCATGATGATAATCATGATGATAACATTGAATATTACATAATATCTAATACATTTTTTACTCTTGATCATTTTCTTAATTCAGTTGTGAAAATAAACATGAATGTCATGTGGAAGCGTCAACATCTAAATTTGGTGATGGTTGCCCTGGAAGTACAAAGTACCTTGAAGTTCATTATCAATGTATATCAGGTAAGAGTTTTATTGAAATATGATAACAATTAGTGGATGAACTTTGTGATGAAGGTTATTGATGATTATCATGAGTTTGTTTCATTGAAAATTTTTGATAACATTGATAGTAATCACTTTGCAAATTGTATGATTGTATCAACATGATTGGTTTGATTATCACAATGAACAAGAAAAATGATGAAGGTGAAAAGATGATATTGACTCTCCCTTAACCTCCTCCTATTTCTCCTCCCTTTTTATCATCCTCCCATTTTCACCTTAATCATGATAATCTCATGGTATATATTTGATCCATCAAATTGATTATTCATCTCTTCTTGTTGATATTATCACACAAACAAAAAGATAATTGAAATAATTATCATCGACTTTTTTTCCAGTCAAACTGGTCAACACTTTTTGTGCGAATGGGATGAGAAAACAAGAGAGAGAGAGAGAGAGAGAGAGAGAGAGAGAGAGATAAGTTTCAGATTGAGAATTGAGTTATCGAGGTGAAAGTTTCAATTTCATGTAATCATTTTGAGAATCTGTTGAATATTCAGATTATATCATATGATCATCAATGAGATTTACTTGTCATCTTTCAAGTTTCCCATGATAATATTGTTAATGTGTGGGAGAAACTCTTGTACTCTCTAGAGTAAAGTTTAGACAAGAAAAAGTAATATGTTGATTCTTAGTGATGATAATCAACAATTGATGAAGATTGTGAATTAATATCATCCTACTGTTGCATCACTCTGCGTGTGTGTGTCTCTCTCTCTCTCACCATTTTTGATTATCATTAGAACCCAAAATTGTCAACTAAAAATTGAACATTGAACAAAGATGAACAAGATGAAGGAAGGATAATAATAATGTTCATCACTTTTTTTTTGTTCATCTATTTGTTTGTCTGATTGTTTTGGTAGCATTTTCTGTCAGAAAGTATTATTATTATCATTATTCCTCCATCATTCTAATGATGGACACATGATATTCCCAAGTGAAGAGCTTAAAACATAATAATCTAATAACAATCATGAATTTATCTTCCCTAACCTTGAATTATATTCAACAATTCACCATATTTATGTTCATGTAATAGTAATAACATTTTCCAAGCATTTCATTCACTGATTAGATACACACTTGAACACTTCATCTTGATCCCTCTTCACTCACCTTCCCTGGCTTATCATCATCATCATCCTCCTCTTCCTCCTCCTACTCCTTCAATCTAATGATAGACTCACTTTAATAGACTCTCTCTCTCTCTCTCTCTCTTGCTCTCACTTTCTCAGTTAATTGTATATTTACCCAATTTATATTTTGGACAAACAATAATAATGATAATAGAAATGCTTGTAATTATCTATGGTAAGATTAGTCATTTTAATTACTCATTTAATGTGAACTTTATGGGATAATTATAGTTGATGAATGGAAGACAAATGATTTAATTGACTGTAAAAGTAATTAAACAATTAAGACTTTGTTAATTATTGATTTACTGTTTATTTTATCATTTCCTGTCAATTTCTTATGGATTATCACATCATCATATTGAATCAATTGTTTTCCCATTGTTGACACTTTGAGATTTGTTATTGTTTGAAATTTTATCACAATTTCAAAGTGATAATTTTGTTAGAGGAAGAGAAAGTTTTTTTTTCTCTTCTTCTCATTTTCCATGAAAAGTTCAATAATTTGAAGAAATATTGAAATGTAACTAAAACTTTTCCTTGTCATTGATACACGAGAAAAGAAAAAGTTGACAGGAACAAACATGGAATATCATGTTACCTGATTTTCCGTCAACAATAAACATTCATTTGGACACTTTTTCTAATTGTAAATTGAAAGTTATTCTTGTATCAGTTGCTTATTATTGAAAGAAAGAAGAAAAAAAATATTAATAAAATGAGAATTCTAATCAAATAATTGCAATTATATCAATGGAAAAGTTTCCAATGTAAAATGATATTGAAATATTATGACGATAACTCTTATTACCTTTCCTCTTTTGCATAGTTACCTGTTATTAGAGTACATGTATCATGATGATTATTTTTATTTTCATCATGTTGAATTCAATGTTGCAAAGAAAATAATTACCATGGAAACGATGATTTACTTTACAAGGGAAATCTCATATATATAAGAGCATTTTCTTCACTATTAAAATTCTCATAAGACTCATCATCATCATCATCTTTTTCTCCATGAAATGTAATATAATATCTGAGAGTTTTCATATTTTTTTTCCTTGGAAACAATCAGCAAATGAGTCAACAATATTATTAGTTCCGGAATCGCGATTCTCTGTGAAAATAGAAACAAGAAAAAAGTAAAGAATAATCAATTTGATAACCTTCATCTTCATCTTTCAACCTTGACCCTCAAAGTGATAACATGTTACCCTTTTTTCATTCAACTTGAAACTTTTGTCATCTTAATATTCATTTTCTCAATGTCAACATGAGCTCTCTCTCTCTCTCTCTCTCTGTTTGTTGATTATTATGTAAGAGGGAGACGATAAATTAATAGTAGATAATGAGAGAGAAAATCTCTCAGCCGGAAACAATGAGTATCTTATCCTCATTAATAACAGAATCATTATCATAATGATAATCGTTATCATCATCATTAACATTATCATCAATTTTATATCAACATGATTAGTTGTTTTCATCGCTTAATGAGTAATGAGTAAACTTGAAAAAAAATAAATGATTCATGTGGATTGACAGTATCAGGGGAAAAAAACATGAAAGCAAAGTCACATTTGAATCTTCATCTTATTTTCTTGTACAATCTCATGTTACCTTTTATCAGGATTAAAGGTAAAAGTAGATTACATTTACCTGGAAAAAATATACCAGAGACCTGAGAGTTATAACCTTTGTATCTCAGACATTTCTCTTATTTTGATGAATAGAAAATATTTATGTCAAAAAGGTAACTATATCTTTACCTTGATCTCTCTCTCTCTCTTGCTGTAGTTTTTATTGTGTTACCTGTGCACCTCTATATGTATTTACCTTGAGGCGATTTAATGTGAAGAAAAAAGTTGAAAATATATTTACAGGTAACAAGAGACTTTTGAATGATTGAAGAAATTGATAAAATTTGGAAATATATTAATTTCATTTCTCCAGGTAAATGGGATTGATGATGAAAAGATAACTCATCCTACTGAATTAATAATTTTGATGAAATTTTTATTTTTATCTCTATTCAATTGGATTTATTTTATTTTCTTCTAATTATTTGATGACAATTTATTAATTGCTCATAGATAAACTTATGATTAACTGACAATTACCAGTTTATCTAAGGTGTGGTTAATAGATTAAGATTAAGTTAAGAATCTCTCTCTCAATCTATGTAATTAAAGTTAATTTAGATCGATAATATTTTCCTATTTATTATTTATCATTATTATTATGATAAATTGCATCTTTGTAGGGACAAATTTTGTTTTTTGATGAATAGGAAACGGAAAATGATGATAATGGTGACGGTAAATTTTGTGAAAATTTCGCCTTGAAATTGAATGAGTTTTAAAATGTTCCACAATCTAATCCATCATCACCCACTTACACAATGAACTTACCTGTAACTAAACTCATCTTCATGATGATGACCTCTCTCTCTCTCTCTCATCAAATTCAGTTCAAACTACTATATTTTTTTAGGGAAAGTCCTTTTCTTACTTACCATGGTTCATGGAAATGATTATAATGATTGTTGAAAATAAATTGTTGTCCAATTTTAAATCTCTCTGCAATTAAAGTAATTGTTGGAGCAATTTGAAAATAATGAATATAATTACCATCAATAGTAATTATCTTGACCAATTTGTATAAACATGAAAATGTCAATAATTTATTATTCATTATTAATTCATGTTCTTGTGTTTATTTTATTTCATTTTTTTTCTAGAGCATAAAAGACAGCGACCTCGTCCGAACCGTCCTGGACATTTACCTACAACAACAACAACAACAACAACAACAAGCACAACTACAACAACTACTACAACTTTAGCTCCTTCCAGTGATATTAATGAATTTAAATTACCTTCAAGAGGTAATCAAAATGCAATAGATGATAAATCAAGTTCGAGTAAAGAGTCAACTGTATATAATAAGCCTAATCTTCCCTCAGTATCTGAGGATCCTTCATTGTATCAATCATCATTCTCATCATCATCATCATCGTCATCTACATTCTCACCATCTTCTTTATCATCAACTCCATCATCATTATCGCCATCAAATTGGCCTGATCATCCACCGTATGATGTATCTGTGCAATCATCTTCTTCACCTTTCCTACCTTCCCCTTTATTACCTTCATCTAAGTCAAATTCATCCTCATCCTCATCCTCATCATCATCATCATCTTATGGTCACTCTCCCAATGGAAGTGCCTTGTGTCCACCTGTAAATTCCCGAGGTCTTTTCTGGAACCGTACAGAACCCGGTACAGTTGTCCGTCAAAATTGTCCCTCATCTAGTGAAGGATGGGCTAAATGGTTTTGCTCAATTGATCCATTTGGATCGGTAGTTTGGATTAAACCGGAAGCAGATCTATCAGGATGTAAATCAAAATGGCTGATCACCGTTGAGAACAGAATGAGAGAGGAAGAGCCAATATTGAAAACAGCCTTTGAATTAGTAGAGGAAACCAAAGATCGTCCACTTTATGGAGGTGATTTGTCCCCTATCATTGATATTATTGGTCAACTTATCTCGAAACTTGAAACTGGATTATCAGATTATCCAGAAGATAAACAATTCACATTCGTCCAAGAAACTTTAAAAGTAAGACATTTCTTCAAATTTTGTCAACCAATTAGTTAAAACTCTAATTAATTACCACCACAAGCCCTCATCACTTACCTCTCTCTCTATCTTATCAAAGATTTTTTCAATCTATTCTCATGCACCACCATATATACAAACTGTATCAATTGACACCACCCGATATAATCTCTTTCCCACCCCAAAGCATATCTTTTACCAGCTCACACACACACACAGTAACCTCCTCATCTTATTCACAAATAATCAACCTTAAGCTTAATTTTAATCCAAACATGAGAAGCAATCAATTTGCTCAACAAACAGATCCAACAATCAATAAACAAATCAACATGATGATAATAATATATAAAAAAATTACGATTCCATTGAAATGAACATTAATCTCTGACATAGACTAGATTAGCATCATTATTTACTTTATTTTTTTTCTCCATCTCCATCTTCATCTCTCTCTCTCTCTCTCTCTCAATCATCATCATACTTAATAATCAATATAATTGTGAGATTAACTTTTTTTTTATTCTTTCTATTTCTTTATCAGATTATGCTGGATATCAGTAGTAATCTACTTGATGATATTCATCGAGATGCTTGGTATGATCTCTCACCAACTGAAAGAACTCGATCAGCTGCTGCCTTAATCAGTGAATTTGAAAGGATAACATTGATTTTCATGGAAACTGCTTCTTCTGGTGATTATTATCAACCAAGTAACAATCTATGTAAGTATTTATTTGTCTGTCGATACTCAATAATAATAATACTTGTGTCCAATCAATGGAAAATATATAATAACAACATGGAAAATATTAATAACAGAGTAGAAGATGATGAAGAAAAAATTGAAAAAAAACGATAATAATGATGAAAAGAGATTGCGAATATTATTATGAATGATTGGTAAGATAAATGAAGTAAAATAACAACACGAATAAGAATCAGAATGGAATAGAAATAAATACAAAATGATATTATAACCTATGGAAAATACTTGATGGTATTTGCTTCAATTTACCATCAATCTTTTTTCCCTTGCAAACTCATTTTCTTTAACAAACACTTTTCTTTTTCCTTCTGTCTCTCTCTCCATCCTCATCTTTTCTCCATCTTAAGATTTACCTTTACGTATTTTTTTATATTCCAATTCCTAGTAGACTTACATGTAAACCCTTAAAGAAAAGTTTTCTTTTTTCTTCTCCTCACCTTTCTCTTCATCATCTCTGGCTCGTTTTCTCTCTCTCTCTCTCTCTCTTGATAGAATTGGTTTTACAGGGAAAATAACAGAATTGTTTCTTTATCTTCCTATTAAATCTCTCTTAGAATCTTCATCTTTCTTGTTTGGTTTCTCTCTCTCTCTTAACCGACATCCTCTTCTTCATCTCTTGTCTAAATTGAATGGATTTCCCTTTAAATGGACTTTACTGTTCTCAGGATCAATCAGACAATCTCAATGATTTTTTTATTCTTATGTTTTTCATGTTGCATGAAGAAAAATAAAAACACCAAATAACAAGCAAAAGTGAGAGAGAAAGAAAGAAAGAGAAAGAGAAAGGTTAAGATGAAAAAGTTCTGGTTCAATTTTTTTTGTTCTCTTTTCAGGAAAATTATTGTAACCTAGTTTCAGTATTTCGGCTCTGTGAATTTCGAGAGGATAAACTGAATGTTTTGTCTGAATGTTATTGGAGAAAAAGTTTATATTTTCTTCATGAGGATGACAAAGATGAGAAAGAGAGAAAGGTGAAGAGAAAATTTATCAAAAATAATGGATAAGAAAAAAGGTAAAAACAATTGGCTGAAGAAATTGACTTTCTTCTTAAAATAAGAACAAAAAAGTTCTGAAAACAATTGAAAGTTGAATTTTTATTCCCTGAATGTGAACACCTACACCATGGTAGAATATGAATAATAAAGAACACCTCAAAAAGAATAAAACAAAAAATAAGAGAATCATCTTGAGAAAAAAATATAAAAATTCACTTTAAGTATTCGGTGGTTTTTGCTCAGTTCGTTTTTTATATATTCTTTATTGATGAACATTGAGAAGAAAAAAGATATTATTCAATTGGCATAATGTTCAGTTGAACTTTTCATGATATTAAGAAAAATGAAGAAAAACTCATTTACATTTCATGTAAATGATTCGTAATTTGTAATAATCATTTTCCATCTCGAATATCATAATAAGTTAAAACTCTTAATTTGATCAGTAAATTGTTCAATTTAAGTGTTGATTGTTAATGATTTTTTCATGATAGAAACATTAGAAATGATGAAGATGATATGGAAAAAATATTCTTCTATTTTTTTCTGCACTTTTTCATTGGGAAATTAACGGAAATCCTTAAATGGAATCGATTAAAACTTGTTAAACTTTTCCAATACTAATCACTAATCAGGAATACAAGTAAATCTATCGGCTTCATGAAGAAAGTTGAACCTCTTTTTTTTTACTTTCATGGGATTGGCAAAGTTTCATTCAGGTGAGATGTGAATGAATATAATTACTATCAACATTTACCTGAACATCTAAAGGGTAACCCCAGGCTAATTAAAGGTTCAATTGAAAACAAAAAAGGTAATATTATTTGTGGTGAAAAAAAAGATAAATATTATTAAGTGATGAATAATAATTTCCAATAAAGTGAATTGAACAATAATCATCGTAGCATTTGAATCATGTCAAATTTGAAGATTGATGTTGATTTCATTTCGTAATAAATTTATCACCCCCTACCCTTTGCCTTACCCATGATGATGAGATGATGATGGAAATTGTAACAACAAATTCAACAAATGCTATGATTTTATGGTGTCAAAGTTTCACTTCAATTTTGTTGATCTCAATTCAAGTTTTATTTTATAAAAAAATAATGTTTTTCTCCATAAAAAAACAAGCATGAATATTGATCGCTGGTCAAATGAAGGGCGGATAAGATGATTTATATTAATTTCTACAGGTAATCAGGTAACGCTTTTGATTGACAGTTTATTCCTGTAAACATCATTAAAAATGAAAGATAATAATCATTACTATCTAATAATAAACGATAAGATATTTAGATATTCACTTTCATCAATAATCATTATCACACATGGAAAATTAATCTTGACCGGATTTCCGTTGTTATTTCTGTTTATCTCATATAATAGATGCAGAAGCTTTTCCATCACCATTATTATTCATTCATTTTTTTTTCTTCGCCTGTTTATCTTTTATCATGTTGTCAGAATTCATCTCTCTCTCTTTCTCTCCTTTACCTGTTTTTTCCGAAGCGAAAAACAAAACAGTAATTTCCATCCACCAACAATAACCACCCACTAAATTGAACGATAATTTAAAGTAAATTAGTTAACAATTATTTCCAATGAAAAATTGACTCTCAATTCTTGTTACTTTTTATATAATTCATTTGAATGGCAATCCCTGTTTTCTTTATATGAAAAAAAAGAAACAAAGTTTATCGTAATTGCGAGTGTAGGAAGTTTGTATCTTTCATGGAAAAACTTATCGTTAATCTTTTTCCATAGAAAATCTTTACTATCCCTCGTTCTCTCTCTCTCTCTCTGTTATCATATTATTATTTGTTTTTCTTTTCTGTTAATTTACATTATTATTCTTATCACAATTTTAAATTACATTCGTTGTTTACTATATATCATATTCTACTTCGATTCTGTTTCGTATATAAACTTTGCCTATGATTACGCTCTCCCAATGAGCTTCACCTTTCACGCCCAGTCAATTTCATTCTGTTTGTTGTGTGAAATATTTTTTATCGCTCATCTTCATCTTCATCTTTAACATTATCAACATTGATCATCTCTCTCTCTCTCTCACACTCTCTCGCTCTCTCTCTCTCTCTTCCTCCCTCGTTAACCCAGTGATGCTTAGCAAAATGATGTTGATTGATGAATACCTTTGTGCCTTTTGCTGTTTTGATATCGCTTATGCTTATTTTAGCATATCAATGATAAATGTTTGTTCATTTTCATTTTCAGGTTTTTAACAAACTGAATAGTAATAAAAACAACAACAAGATTGATTGTATTTTGATTAGAGATTGAAAATGACATTTAACTGAGAAAAAATTATCATCTGATAAAAAGACTCACCTACTACCAATAATGGGATAGTGAGTGAGAAAATGAACAATCAACACATCATCATGATGATGATCATGAATCTAAGCAAAACAATGAGCATAAATAGACTCAAATTTCATTAGCTCGCTGCCATTTCAAGATGAATTCAATCAGCATAATTTGCAATAACATTTCCAGTCAACAGTTTTATTCAATTTTATTTTCAACTTTGAATTTCATATTTTCCAAGTTGTAGTAATTTTCTCATGCTCTTTTTTACCATCATATTGAATGTCAATAGTGCTTCTTATTCATGAATCAATTTTTCCTTTTTCGATAATAATAAACAGAATGGACAAAGTTTCATCTCTCTCTCTCTCTCTCTTTCTCTCTGATTATCAATATTCCTTTTTCGTGAATAGTCAAAAAGAACTGGACTTTTGATGATTTCGACAGAATATGGAAGCATAATAGAAACTGAAATGGACAGATTATCTATTATCTTGTATTACTTTTTTTTGCTATTATTCAATTCTTAAAGAGGTTACATTGATTTCTCATATTACAAGGAGAATATCATCTTATATCAAGTTAATATCTCTTTATATTCAATTCTCTCAACAATAGTTGTGTCCACATTTGGAACATGTTGATAGGATTAACATTTATCCTTGAGTAACTTTTCAAGAGGAGAGAACATTTTTCTCAGCTTTAAAAACGTATGATAATCAAAAGGAAATCGTAAAGAAGATGCTTGGTGATGATTATCAAAAGAAGCAAAAAGAAAGAAAGAAAGAAAAATAGACTTATGGATAATAAAATGTCGAGTGAAGGAAAAAAAGTTCTAATCGAAGTCTTTTTATGTAATAATATTATTGGGACAAAATTCGAACTTTTTTTCTAACAAGTTTTACTATTGATAATATACTCTTTTCTTTGCTATTTTATTATCCTGATATTAGTATTCGACCATTGGTCAGATGATGTTGATTGGATTCTGAGACTTTAATGATAATATTCTTATCTCTTTTGAAAATGCTCCAGGGGAATTATGAATTTCTGTTGATTTTCATGCTCTCATGGTTCTATTATTATTTAGTTATTCTGATCTCTTATCATCTTTGGTCAATATTAATAATATAAAAAAGGAATGAAATTCAAATAAGATTATCTCTTTTTTTGTCTTCTCGTTTGCTTTTTTTACTCAAGAAATTGTTATGACAATGACACTTTTCATTGATTCTGATGGGAATTCAATGTTTACCTTGATTAACAGAAACAAAAGTAAAGACATTCAACTGGATATATTGTTGATTCTGCATGAGAAATTGAATTACGATCATTTCTATTTCCTCTTGATCACCAATTGGATAAGTGTTAAGGTCATTGAGAAAGTCTCATGAAAGTGATGACCAGCAAATACAGTTAAAAATAAATAAACGTTCATTGTAAATATAATAACTTTTTGATTATCACTTGTCATCCTCATCTTTTTTCATCTTCAACCAATTGATAAACTTTCATCTTCCTCTTCATCTTGACAATTTTTTTCTTCTCAATTCTAATCATGATTTAAATTGTTTTCCTTTTCATTGATGATTTTCTGGCTTTTTTACTAATAAAAATCTCTTGTGATGATAAATTTGAAGATAATTTTTCTCTTCTCTTTTCTTTTCTCTCTCTCTCTCTCTCTCTACAGTTATGTCCGTTCATACTCATAGATTAGATCAACTGCCAAATGGTTTACGATTACCTAAGGAAAATGATAAAATTATTGACCAACTTCCGGTTGATTTATCAGTTTATGGTGGCGATATTGTGGATGATAAGAGTAACCCAATATATTTACCTCGAATTAGTTTATCTGATCTTACCCGTCGAAATATGGTTCGAGTTGGTTACATTGTTTATGGTAAAATGGGTCATCTTTTAGATCCTATTATAAGTGAACCATATGGTGGATCAATAATGTCACCATCATCATCATCACCATTAACATTTAATGATAACAAAGAAGAGGAACTCGATGAAAATGATAATGATCAACAAATTGTTGCAACAATTGTCAATTCTGATGTGGTTGGTGTTCTGGTTCCTAAGGAAAGATCATCTTCCATGATTCTATTACGAGAACCAATTGAAATTACATTTCGTCATTTGATCATTGAAAATATTACCAATGCTCGTTGTGTCTTTTGGGACACATCACAATGGTCAGAATTTGGTTGTACTACAATTCAATCAAATGACACGCATACAATTTGTAGATGTAATCATTTAACTAATTTCGCTGTTCTAGTTGATTTCACAAGGCAAGAGGTTTGTATATATAATCATCATCATCACAATCGCCACTCCCTTTCAATATTTTTCTTTGAGCATCCCAACCTGACCTTGACCTATTCGATGACCTTATATAATCCACTTCTTTATTTTCTTCCACTTTAAACTTCTCCTTCTCTCTTTCCTCATCATTTCCTTTTCCGTTTCAATTTCCTCTATTCTTACTTATTTACCTTTTTTTTTTGTTCTCTTAACTTTCTGTTTTCTATCAAACTAAACTTCCAATATCGATCATTATTATGGATTAAAAGATTACTGGATTACATGGATTAATACTCCATAGTATCACTCAAATTGGTTGTATTGTATCATCATTTTGTCTCTGTATTTGCCTTGTAACATTTATCGTTTTTAGGTGAGTAATTAATTTATCAATCGTAATCAATTGGAGCAATTAAATTGTCCAACCTACCAAATCTTTTGCTGATAATTTGAGTGTCTAATTAAATTGTTTGAAACTTGTTTTTCCCTCTTTCGTTGATCATCATTTCGTTAATTACTGTTAACAGTTTGATTGTTTCAACAAAAAAAAACAAACTTACAGTTTATATGGAGAGAAGTGATTAAAATGATCAATAATAATTTGCTATTTAGAGTAATTATTATCAATTGTTGACACAAAATTAACAATCAATCAAACTGTATGAGAGTTTTATCCTCTTTCAAGTTAATTCTGGGTCACTAATTGGAAACAGTGAACAATTTAAATCAGTCCTTGATCCTCTCTCTCTCTCTCTCTCTCTCTCTCTCTCTCTCTCTCTCTCTCTCTCTCACCTCACACACCCAATTTAAAAAAGAAACACAAACATCCGAGAGAAAAGTTTTTCCATTTGGTTGTAACTCCAATGCAAATACAACTAATCATCAAACTTGATTCTCTTTCACTCTTATATTGATTGAGAGTAAATTGATTTACTCTCAATCCAAATAATGAAAAACAGAGTAGGAGGAGGAGGCTGAGAGTATAATACATTTCGGTGTGAGCATCACCTTAAAATTTGATTCTTAATTGCGTAGGATTGAATAATCGCTCCGGTAGATTAGCTGAAAATTAGTAGAAAAGAAGAAGAAAAAAAAAATCTTTGATTAATCTTCTTTTTCGGTGTTAAAAGTTTAATCCTTCATTTTTTTCTAGTCGTTGATCTTGAAAGGTAAACATATGAGAAGATATTATTTACTAAATAACAATTAAGTCAACAGAAGCTTCATCTCCATCTCCATCCTCATCTTCATCTTCATCTTCATTAATAGTTTAGAGGTGAAAAACTAATTAACCTTTTTTTTTGCTTGTTTCAGATAATCACTATTCACTTGATAGCCTCGAGTTAATTTTCAATGTCAGTTAATCAAAGTTGATTCTTATTAAATTGATTCCTCTTGATCATTAATTTCTCATATAATCAATTGTCTTATTTTCACTAATCAAATACTAAGCCAAAAATTAAGCTCAACAATTAATCAGAATCATTTTTTTTTCTCACTCCTCAAAATTAAACAAAAACGTTAATTGTTGGTTTTAATATAAAGCAAAATTAACCTTAAACTAACCTTTAAAATGATTAGAAAAGATTAATTTTCTAATCAAATTAAGATTTGTAATCTTAAATAATCAATAAATTATCAAACGATATCTTTATTAGATCATAATTATTATGAGAATTAAATTTTTCATGAAACAAAATCAACAATTAATCTGATAAACTTTAAATTCAACTGATTAGATTGAAAATCTAATTGAATAATTTGTTAAAACGATACAATAAAAATTATCAATTTAATTGCAAGTTTTTTCTCAATTGATTAAATCATAAGTTTCCTATTTTTTTTGCCACTCAATTCTAATGATAATCAATTAATCAAAACTAATGATTGTTAGATTGTTATTTGTATAACAAGGAAGGGAAATTAATTTAATTGATTAGTGAAAATGGATTGGAAAAAGGAAACGAGGATAAAGTGACACAATTAACAGAGATTAAAGGGCTTTTCCATTAACTAATTTTTAAAACCAATTTGATTAATCTGAATTATGGTGAGTTTTTTAGATAAGATTATCTAATCATCACTACGATTAGATTACTTGTTGGTTATTTGAAAAGCACAGTGGAAGCTACGGCAAAAAGTTAATGGAAAAGGTAAAGCTCGGTTATTTTTCACAATCAGCTGACAATTAACCAACCAGCTGATATTTTAACCAACATTAGTAGTTAAAAAAAGGCTTCACTGGCACAGAAAGAGAAGAAAGAGAAGAAAGAGAAAAAGAAAGAGAAAGAGTAAGAGAAAATAAAAAGTAAGAGAAAAGAAAGAGAAAAAGAAAGAGAAGGGGTAAGCACCAGTTCTTCCCTCTTTTGACCTAGATTTGACCTTAAACTGTGTAATATAAAGGTAAAAAGTCTATGAATAATAGTGGTAAAACTTTAAAATGTCTTATACCAATTTTTTAACACATGTTGAAACTGTAGACGGTGTTGTCTATACAATTTCATTAAAAGGAAAGTATAAATATAATAATCATTTTTTCTTTACTGTGTACGTAAGTTATATTTTAAATGGAGTGGAGGTGATATCGAAGATCCCTTTCTATGAATTTGATGAAATACGATTATCTATTATTGGTGGTAAATCCAACTATGTTCACATAAATAAACTTGTATCGTATACAACTTTAAGTGATGGTGGACTTCAACTTCGAGTAAAATCAAAGGATTACTATTGGCCATTTGAGTTGGTGAAAATAATTAAAGAAGGAAAATTTGTTGAAAACATTGGAAAGATAAGTCGTAAATGTGGACAAGGATACGCAAATAAACATGCTCCTAGGGTAATTGGATGGAAAGATACTAGTGACATTGAACCTACTACACCTGGTATCCAAACTCACATATTCAATTTGGGAAAATATTATTTGAAAAACGGTGACCATTATTCAATTGACATTGAAGCTAAAACAACAGAAACGCTCGAGAGATGGTACCCAAGAATCTTGATTCGATATGATAACGAAAAATCAGAGAAACAATTGGATTTGAAGATCATTGATTTGTTTGCGTTGAGAAACTACTTGATTCAATTTGACCAAACTGGTGATTATCAGGATTTATACCTTGGAAAGGCTAAACCGACAGTAGTTGCAGAAGGTGATCCAATAAACAAGTTGGTGTTAACCCTGGATGATATTTCGATGGGACTGGATATAGGTTTCATTTCGTATATCATCAAAGGGAAATTTCTCGACTATATGGTTAAGCTATTGCGAGCTCTAAATTATGAGGCGGAGCCAATGTCATACATTCGATACTGGTTTTTTAAGGGAGTCATGATACTGGATGATGGAGTGAGTCGACTATAAAAACCAATGTAAGAGCTCACTGAGCTCAGTTTAACAATAAACGTTTTCTCATAATTATCGTTTACTTTATTGATCGTGTAAAATGTCCTATAAGTGTACACATTGTCGACGAAAGTTTAAAATTTTAACAAAGTTTAAACAACATGTAGAAAAATGTGAGAAAGAAGAGATGAATGATTTAGTACAACATCCAAAGTTTAATTTATCAAAAAGTGCTTTCAATAATACTTTTGGAGTTTACTCTATGCGTGATGTAGACACTAATGATGTTGATACACTATTTTCTAATGAAAATTCATCTTTAACAAGTCTTCTAGAAGATTTAGTGACTAAATTGGAATGTATAAAACTAACAATTGGTGTTTGGTTTGTTTTAGAGAGACCAAGTAAGGATGATGGTGAAGATGAGAAAAAAACTGTTTACATCAATTCATCAAAAAAGGTTTTGTGTAATGATGATTATATTCATCATTTTCTTGGTGAATGCTCACAAGAAATCGATGCTAAATTGGATGTGTTTACTCAAGAAGGAAGTGGTTGGAGTGTTCACTCAATTAAGGATGTGGAAGTACATTTAGTTAAATATGAACCACATCAAGGAGGATGTAAATCGTGTCAATTACCAAAAAATATAAACAATAAAAAAGCTATCATCAATATGGATTGTACAACGGACTGTTTCATGTACTGTGTTTTGGCAGCTTTACATCCAGTTGATAGAAATCGACAAAGAGTGTTTCAATATGATCTACAGAGTTGGAGGTATGATTTCTCAAGTTGTCGTGGTGAAGTGAAAATCAATCAAATCAACAAATTTGAAAAGACAAACAACATCTCAGTGAATGTTTACACTTTATCTTTAAACGAGAAAAACATTTTACCATTTAGGATAACAAGTGAATTGAAAGATAAACATGTGAATCTACTTTTACATGACAATCATTACTTTCTTATTTCAAACTTTGATCGTTTGTTAAATTTCAGAGGAAAACATGGTGATAAACATTGTTTGAATTGTCTTCATGGATTTCGTACATCAGAAAAATTAATGAATCATCAACAAAATTGTTTTAAAAGATCACCACAACAAGTTGAGTTACCAGAAAAAGGAGCAACGATTAAGTTTAAAGATTATAAAAAAATGTTCAAATATCCTTTCATCATTTATTCAGATTTTGAAACATTAGCGACAAAGTTACCACATGAAAACAAAAACTCTTTTGCTTATCAAGAACATAAACCTTGTTCATATGGTTTTGTGGTAGTTGATTATAAAGGTGATGTTATTTTAAAAGATTTCTATCGTGGATTGGATGCTGACTCAATGTTTATGAAAACACTTATAGCTGTACAAATGGAATTGTATCGTTTGTATGATAAACTTCAAAAACCATTATACTTGTCATTGGAAGAAGAAGCAAGATTCTATATTGAGGATAAATGTCACATTTGTGGTTATGGTTTTGATCATGATAGTGAAAAAGTGAGAGATCATGATCATATGACTGGTGAATTTAGAGGACCAGCACATAATGCATGTAACTTACAATGGAAATGGGATTATAAAATACCAGTTGTATTTCATAATTTAAAAAATTTTGATGGTCATTTATTAATACAAGCTGTTGATAACGATTTATTCACAAAGATTGATTGTATACCACAAACAATCGACAAATATTTGTCAATACAAATGGACTCATTTATATTCATTGACTCACTCGCTTTTTTACCATCAAGTCTTGATAATTTAGCCAAGAACCTGGATAGAGGAGATAAAGTTAAAATACTTGAACAAATATTCACGGATGGAAACATTGAAATGTTATTGGGTAAAGCTTGCTTACCTTATGAATATTTGGATTGTATATCCCGATTTGATGAGCCATCTTTACCACCAATAGATGCATTCTTCTCATCATTAAATAACAGTGGGATTAGTGTTGAAGTATATGAGCGAATGAATAAGATCTTTAAAGAGTTTAACTGTTCAACACTTGGTGAAT